AAATACAAAATAGTAGAGTTAAGATATACTCTTTCATCACTGCTTATGTAAATGCATAAAATGATAATCTGTGAAACCAGTAAGAAAAAATGCACCAAAGTGTTCAACAACTCCTTTGCATGTAGTTCTTCTTTAGATACCTAAGCTTTTTAAAGTACCCATGCAAAAAAATGTTAAAACATGCCTTTTTGTAGAAACTTGGTATTGTGCCAGCTTCAGCACTTTTCTATTGCTTCTCTTTAAAAATATCCAGCCAGATTCTCTTTGTCTCAAGCTCTACAAGAGAAAAAAGAGCACCATGTTAGAATTTTACTGAAGATTGAAAAATTCACTTCAATTTAAAGTGCAAGTATTTATTTGCCAGCAATTCAGCCAAAAAAATGTTCTGCAGGAAAATCCCATGCATGCATAAGCATCCTTGAAGTAGCAGCAAATTAAGATTTTTTTACCACAAAGATGTAATATAATGTAACCACTACAACTGCCTTTCTCTAATAGAAGCTGGACCAGGGAAATTTCCAAAACAATACCTAGACACAAACACCAAAATAACTAATTTCAATCACGCCACATGATTTGACCAAAGATTCAAAAGCTAAAGAAGTTGTTCCAAACCCAAATATTTTAAGCATTCTTTTTCCTACCTCATCATACTGAAAACACACTGAACTAAGCTAATTGACAGTATATAAGGCTCATTCAGAACACATATTTTCACTTCCTCCTCTAAACAAGACAGTTGAGCAGAAACATAACTAAAATGTACTTTCAATGGAAAACAGCTCCAACCCACTAAGTCACTTCATAAATCAACTCATGCAAACTGCAAACAGATAAGCTATGTCTCGAATTAATCACAATCACCAGTCCAACATTAGAATTGATTTTCCTAATCCACTCACATTGCACAAAGATGAGCACATTCAAATACCAGAAACATATACTTAGAAGGCAGGATCAAATAAATTTATAAGGAAATGGTGTATAGATAAAAACGGACCCATCAGAGCTTCCGATCCGAGGCCAGCGCCGGACCCAATGTACCGGCGGAGATTTCTGACCCAAAGCATTGACGAAGCCGGTGGGATCTTCCTCTGTGAGGCAGCCTCATGGCTCTCGCCATCACTAGATCCACTGTACATGGCCAAGTGAGACCGATCTGATAAAGAAACTCGACTCCGTGAAGTTCGATTTTCTCCGTAATGCTCAAACGTAGAATTGAAACTCCGGAATCAACACCAAAACCCTAGCTCTCTGAGATTCTCTGC